TCTCTTTCTCACTTCTCATCTTTGTTCCAACCAAGCTGGACAACTTCACCCGCTTCGTGATTCATGGACATGATTTGACGTGAGTTCTAAATTTCAATCTTTCATTGTCATATATGCAGATCTGCCATAAGTCAGCTCTATCTCACTCTGGGGACTACACCGACTTATCTCTTCCCATGTGCATCTGGCTACGTGAGCGGCTTCATGTCTGATTTTGGAGTTAAACCTTTGGATCAAATTTGTATTCAATTAACTTTGATGACTAGTACTCACCTGAGGAGATAAGAGATGACACACTTCCATTTCAGTCAGTAAATCCTTCACTCTTCTTCTCACTATCAATAGAACGTTCGCGATAAATATATGGATGAAGAAACATAAAAACCTCATTGTAAACATATTCTTCGTCCAGCTGATTGTCCAAGTCGTTGTTACGTTGGTCAACGGCTTCAGCAGAAAAGACGGCGGAGAAGAAGCACAGCAAGCTTGTCTCGAGGTTAGGATATTTTCCATTCGTAGAAACAGTCTTTTCAGATTATCACCTATGAATATCCCGAAGTGATGTATACCTTCCGAGGATATGATGTATCGCTCCAAGATGGGAACGATCATTTCAAAACTTTAATTTTGGGCCTGACTTCTGCGTTTTACATTATTATTGCCATTGTCTGTGTTTATATGCTCGTTCAGAGCATCAGAGAGCAAGCGAAGTCATCGCAGTCGACTCAGTTCTTAGCCAACCAACGTCGAATAACTTCTGGGATTCTTTACTTCGTAAGCTTCTTCTCTCCTACTGAGATCAATATCCTTAAGATGGTTCTCGAGATAGTTGGATTGGGCATTCCATATATAGTTATCAGTACATGTTTTATTCTCAGGGTGGGAAATCCGGGTAAAGCTTTCCTTAGACATCGACATACAAACTCGTACATCTCAGTCGTCTCTCAATTTGCCATCATCACTATGTGCGTCTACCCTATATTTGGTCCATACTATGTTCTCATGTCCAACACAGATTACAGGAACAGAGTGAGAGGGATACTTAGAAAAGGTTAGTTTTTGAAGCTTACTTCTAGATCAAGCATCAAAACATTTTTCAGCTCAAGAGCTAGGATCTCGTACACCGACTATTTGACATTCTACTCCTGAAACGATCATTCATATTACCAATTGGTGTCCGTTGAGACCAGCAATCTCCTGCAGAAAAGATCGCTATAGACTAATGGAATCTGAATACTGTCGATAACGTCTGTTGTCATCACAGGAACGTTCGTTTCGTTCTCAACGTAGCTTACAACTTGTAATTCATTATGAAAAATAAAAATAATTTCTCTCCAACTGTTTCTATTGAGTGAAATATACACAAAC